ATTAATGGACAGTATATTAGAATATAACTAGCAATTTCTTCCAAATTATCGTTATAGGATATGAAGTATCCGATAAACGATACTGTATCATTTAGCTTAGCTTGAAACTCTGTTGCAAATACAAAGCATATGAATTGTTTCTGAAATCACAGTTTTTTCAAATGAAACATCCTATAACTTGTGCAGTATTAGTTTAGAGGCTAACGACCAGTTCGTCGATATCCAAAGGACCGAACAAGGATTAACACATGGGGTGGATTTTGCAAAACGAGGCAAAACCAGACTTTGCTGCTTCCGTACCAGCCGTTGGAGTCGGATTCGACGGCTGAGTCGACTCTGAAAAAGTTTAATGGAGTTGACTCCGGAATTTTCAAATGACTGGATAAATTTCAACAACGTGAAATTCTCAATTAAATAAAAGTTTCAAATTTTAGCCGAATGGGATACCTTACAACTTTATATTTGGCTAAACTTGTAATTATCTTTTTGTAACATTAATTAAATTTAAAAAAATTTGGTTAAATATTTAAGACGTTAATAATAAAATTATGATTGTTGATTTCAAATGAAGGTCGAGACTCATCGACGGCTGAATCGACTGAAAAAAGGATATAACGACTGAGCCGATTTAGAATTTTCCACGGCTAGTACCACTACATGACTAATTGAAATCTTAAGGAAGCATCTTGAGATCAAGAAAATGGTTGAATCGGTCCGGTCCAAAAAAGACTGGCGTAATTGTCTCGAATTTGGGCCCTGTAAAGAAAAAGCTAAAATAAATCTCGTTCCTAATACTTATTCTTGATTAATATGAAAATGGCGATTACAGCTCTGAATATTTTGAGCTGAAAGTTTATTTCGATTAACAACAACAAAAAAACAGTTCTAAAAATATAATAAGTTGCTTTATTGTTTTTTTTTAATCCTAAAAATAATAAGATTTGCAATTCTTTTTATTATGATGATGAGAAATTATTTCTCGATCTACAAGTGTTATTTATCTAAAATATCTCTTAAGAAGTAGAAATACGTTATAAAAAAAATGAAAATGGCAACTAAAGGAAAATCATTGTTTTTGATTTGCACAAGCTTTAAATTTGAACACATTATTATGAAGATCTCAGTATGGTATGGGAAAAAAGTTCCAAAACCGTTACTTTAATTTTAGCAATTTGACTTGCTTCGGTTGATATTTTTTTACATACAAACAAAACACATGCGCACTTTGAACAATCTATCTTGTTTCTTTTATATCACGTATAAATTAATTATAACACTTAAATAGTATTATAAAATTCATGAATTTACATGAAACTGAAATAATTTTTTTTGACTAGTCAGGACGGTTGTAAGGTCGAAATTAAATTTTGGTTTTGTATGGAAAGTCAGAAAGATAATTAATTTTGACTTATTGTCTAACAATTAGTAATAATTTGAACCATATCATATGACTGCATTACAATTTATTCATATTTTTTCTGATAAGTTTATTTACCAAAAAAAAAAAAAAATAATTTTTCAACAAATATTTGTTAAAAACATTTTATTATTTGATGAGCGCAAAAGAAATTTAATCAGAGATAAAATTATTTCTTAAATTTAGAATATCTAAATTTAAATCATCCAAAAAAAAAAAAAAATTTATGGAGAAATTCAGATATAAAAGAGGCTTTCTTTCCCTTTTCTTAACGACAGGATTCAAATTTACAAAGTAATATTCTTAAAACAAAAAAATCTCTACCAATTAACATTCTATATCTCAATATGAACATGAACATGAAACGCGTCTTTTCAGTTTTACTTTTCGCAGTCATCTTCTTTATGGCCTTTGCTAAAGCAACTCCTGTTGATAATAATGATGAAGGTAAATTATTATAACAAGTTCATAATTTAATACTTTATCATGTTTCGAAAAGCAAATACTTTTTCTTTGAAATCATCTAATCTTCGCCTTATTTTCATATTATAAGACATCCTCAAACGTGCTGTCTTCGTGAAATGTGGAGGCGTAGATTGTAATCTAAATGGACGTAAATGTTGTGACTCACCACCAACATGTGTCAGAAAGTCTCAACCATGTCCTAAACCTGGAGGTGGAAATCAATAAGTTTATTTTAGTATTAAAGGAGATATTATTATTATTTAGTGATGGCATCATTTACAATTATTACTTTATTTTTTTTATTTTCTTTGTCTTCTTAAAATCTATTATAATTGTACATTACTAAAATTTTAAATTGTATTTGTTCAATAATCTGATGTAAAAGTTTTATTAATATTGTTAAATTTTTTATATTCAATTGTATAATGTGTGTTCATTTTTTGTCAAATCTTCACATACTGTACATTGTTTTTTAATAAATAAAATTCGTTCTTAATATGAAATTTCTCTCTGTATCGATTTAACATTGCATCAAATAATGGTAGCATTTTAAATAACTGCAAACCCTTTTATCACCCAA